CTGCCGGCCCCTCAGCCCGGAGGGCAGGGGAAGGCAGGGTCGGTTTTGGGCCTCTGACCACCGTCAGTTCTGGCCCCTGCTCCCTGGGGACACCAAACCTCAGCTGGCAGCGCCTGGCTAGGCGAAGGGCCCTGCTTCTTCTGTCTCTCTTGTGGACGGCGTCAGCCCCTCAGGAATGGCCCTCGTTTCTCGTTATTCTTCTCGGAGGAAAGAAAACCAGTGTTAGGCTACGGCATCTCCCCTGGGCTCCAGCTGCCTCCCCCAGCTACACCAGATGGGGACAGGGCAGAAACCCACTCCTGTGTCAGGACAGGAACAACTGTCTCCCAGTCCCTGAGTTCAGGGAAGAGGAAAGATGGGACAGGAACAGCACCAAGGGTTCTCCCTGCCCAGTCCCTATTCAGGAGCAGGACCTTGCCATTCACCCTGGGGGCTCACCCTTACACAGCCCTCTCCCCCTCAAACCAAACTCCCTTCAGGGAGAAGCCAGGCAGCTGGGCGATGCACAAGACCAGCTGAACAAGGCTTGTCCGAGGAAGGGACACACTTACTCTGAGTCTGGCGACAGCTCTGAAATGCTGTGGGAGGTGGTGGAGCGAGGTGTCGAGGGACACATTGCGGAGGGTGTTGAGGAGGTCTGCATGGCAGAGGGGGTGGCGGTGGTCTGGGGGCCCGAAGGCATGCCAGAAGATTGCACCGAGGACAGGACAGAGGAGTTAAAAGAAGCAAGGATGGAAGAAAGGATATCTAACTGTTCAGTGGAAGGATGTCGGCTGGGAATGGCCTCCAAGTTCTCTCTAGAAGGCTGTCTCCTCGACAGCGGCTCTAGGCTTTCCCTAGACAGCTGCCTCCTAGAGAGACTCCCCAGGTTGTCCTGTGAGGGATGCCTGCTAGGCACTGTGTCCAGAGGTTCTCTGGAATTAGATCTTCTGGAGAGAAAGTCCAGCTGCTCCCTTGAAGTTTGTCTAGACGATGCTAGCTGGTCCCTTGAAGGCTGTCTTCTAGAAAGCAAATCCAATTGTTCTCGAGAAGTATCTCGACTTGGCAACGTGTCTATTCGGTCTCTGGACACTTGCCTACTTGGCAATGTGTTTAGCCACTCTCTAGAGACCTCTCTTACTGGCCCACAGTCTAGCTGCTCTCTTGACCCAAATCTGCAGGGTAAAGTGTCAAGGTGGTCTCTGGAGCCCTGCCTCCGTGGCAGTGTGTTCCCATGATCTCTCTGACTGGGCCTAGCAGTGAGTAGATCCAAGTTTTCCCGAGACCCATGTCTGCTCGGGATACTTTCCAGGTGTTCAGTAGACCCATGCCTGCTGGGGATAGTGTCCAGCTCCTCCCTGGACCCATGCCGGCTGGGCACAGCTTCCAAGCACTCTCCTGAGTTGTGTCTGCTCAGCTGCTCCCGGGACATCTGTCTCCTCATCAGCATGTCAAGCTGCTCCCGCGATGAGTACCGGCTGGACTGGCTGTGACAGCCTGCCCGCCCCAGAGTAGATCCTGCCATAGGAGGCGGCGGGGACAGCCCTGTGACCCAGTGTGGAAGTCTTGTACCATGTCAGCTCGTTGGTCATCCTGCCAACGGATGGCAGGCCTTGGAGAGTTGGAGGATACTGGAGGCGGTTCTTCAAAATCCCTGCACCGGACAGAAAGAGGAGTCAAATCTTTGTATAACGGTGAAAAGAGCACAAAAGCCATGGGAGACAAGCCATACCTCCCCAAGGACACAACAAGGTGGATCTGATGCTGAGTCTTCAGGGCCATGTCAACCTGAGACAGGCAAGGTCACCCTTGCCCGCTTGCTCCAAGCCATTACCTTTTCTTTGCCGTTGGGTCTGGGTGAGGGAGTTCTCATCCCCACTGGTCAAGGCCAGGTCTGGCTGATTATTGTTGGCTGCGTCCTTGTTGATGTCGAACCCCAGCTTCCGCTCGGAGCCCCACTTCTGCAGGGAGCAGGGGTGAACCTCACACTCGCCCAGCGCCGGCCAGTACGACATGAGGTCATTGCCATCCACGTCTGGAGAAGGACACAGGAAAATGGGCCCAGGGTAAGAGGCAGAGAATACTTCTGTGAGGGGCAAACTAAGCCACCACAAGACATGGCCTGGTGCCCAGGGACCTGGGCTCACCCGTTCCCCTGCCAGAGCCCCCGGGACTTGCCTTTGGGAGTGGTGTTGGTGGGGTTAGTGAGGAGGCGTTCGCTGTGTGCTGCCTGCTTGAACTGGCGCTGGAAGCGGCCCCGCAGGCGCACGTTCTCCTCGCTCTCTGAGGACGGGATGGAGAGGCTGCGCTCTTCATCCAGAGACAGGTCACTGTCCGAGTCTGAGTCTTGGTCTGTAGGAACATGGTGTGTGTTGGGGAGACATTTGGAATGTAGGTGGGAACGGCTTCTGGTGGCAGGGCCAGCCGGGCTCCAACTGCCTCCAGGAAAGCAGAACAGCCCAGGACTGACCACCCTTGTGAGGACAACAGCCCGCCTTACTCCTCACTGCCCTTCCCTTGGCAGCAGCCTGCGCCTGCTCCTCCTGCCCTTTCACCAGGCACCTGTGAGGAGCCCAGCTCCATCTCGCTGTACCACCCCATGAGGCAGTTGCAAATACCTGTGAGATCCTCTTCCTCCAGGCTGAGCAAACTCACCTCCTTCAGCCTCTGCTCACCTGTCCCATGCATCAGCCCCAGCCGTGAGGGTTGTCCCCACCAGTCTCACTCCAGTGGGCCAGTACCTGTGCTGTACTAGGGAACCGTGTCCCCAAGGACCCTGTGACAGTCTATGTCCCCGCTTTTGCCTCCTCCATTT